TACATATACATATATAAAATATATGGTGTGTGTGTATTTAAAGAACGTGCAAATGGGAAAAGTGAGTTTTCTGTAGGAAAACTGGTCAATTGTCTTACTTTTCCTCTAGTCACAATTTTTCTTAAGCTTTTTAAAATTCAGCCATGAAAACAAGTACTCTTTGTCCAGAAACAAATGAAACGAAATTTTTATATGCTGAGCTATCATTTAACTCAGATACTTATGAGTTTGTCTACTTATTACTTTTATTTTTTACTTTATTTTTTAATTTTCATTTTTTTATTATGTTCAGTTAGCCAACATATATAGTACATCATTAGTTTTTGATGTAGTGTCTACTTTTGTAAGAGTTAGTGATATTTTGGAAACAGTGCACAAAAATGTACTCTTTACCACTCCTGGAAACCAGTGGGAGGCCATCCGGGGTGGTTACCTGGGTTTGCTGAAGTCTGAGAAGTACATCTCTGCCAGCAGGTGCCACTGGATGCCCCCATTGTTGCTGTACTGGAGGAGGACGCCCTCCTCTCTGCTGTCCGGCTTGTTGCACGCAGCGCTCTCTCCACCAATCTGGATGTAGAACTGGACAAAGTCCACCCAAGAAGTATCCAGATCCCAGCTCACCAGCTGTCTTTTCCCAGCCTTTCCAAAAGACGGAAGAATCATAGATTCAATCATCTGGGAGCTCACTGGCACTTTGCTGTTTCAGTTTCAAGATCATACAAACATCCTAGCACCACAGGGAGATGATTTTGTCCCCATTTAACGTTGAGAGGCGCAAGTCATGCCATTTAATTCTTTGCTCAGGTTACGGTAACTGTTCCTGACTACGTTTGATTAGTCTCTGCATCATTGACTCCCAGACTTGGTTATGAGACCCCTGGGAACTGCTAATCATAGAAAGAGTATTCAAAAGTCTTTAAAAATAAGGCAAAATTAATTTTAATTAAAACACTTCCTCTATTTGCTTTGTAAATCTCCTCCAGGCAGAGTTATGGAGAAGAAAGACCATGTACTTTGAAATCAGTTAGAGTTGGGTTGGAATTTTAGCCCATTATTCATGCTGTTCACTAGCTGTGTGACCTTTCTGAGCTTTTATTTTCCTCAAAGGTACAATATGGGTAATAATACCTTCCTCACAGGGTGCTGTGACAATTAGATGAAATACACGTTGCATGTAATTTGCTGAGCATATGGCATGCCTTACTGAGGAAACATCCTCTCCAGAGATATGCCCTGACCCCCCTCCTCCTTGGGAATTAGAGTGAAACTGGCAAAATAGAAACTTCCTGACAAAAAGAAAGAGTACTCAAGTCTCTGAGGCTCCTAGTCTCTCTGTCTCGGTCTCCTTCTTGGAAACACAGAGGTTGGGAGGGATCATTTCGGTAAGTTTTTGTGACTGTGAAATGGTCTTTGTGTTTTAAAAATGTGAAAAATTTCCTCAAATCCAGCAACTTGCTTCCTTTGCTCTGTGTGTCCCCTACATGTCACAGTCCTGTTGTGAAGTACTAGGTTCAAATTAACAAGGTTTGTCATCAGTCCTGTTGTAAGTAAATGGGTTCATGCTAATGGGACGGAAAAAAGGTTTGCTCATGAGATTCTTCCACCCAAACAGATACTGCCAAAGCTAATCCACAGACTGCACCGAACTGGTCTTGGAGAGCTCCCAAGGAGTTCAATTAAAAGTCAGGAAGAAAAATTGAGATAGGATACATAGTATAGAGAAAAACACCCCTCACACTTATAATTTAAACCCTCCTTTAATCCACTAAGTTAATTAAGAAAGGGTTTCAGTTATTAGAAGTCACAGGGGAAATACTTGGGGATAATTAAAACAGTACACTGTTACTGATAAATCTAAAGCCAATTAAGAGATTCCAAAATAAACAAGGGTACCAGCGAAATGAGAACTGAAGTTAATCCTGAAATAGGAACTTATTCTTTGGAACTCTCAATTTGAAGTAAGTATTTGAGAAAAGCTTAGAGGTAATATGCATTTTCAACGTGTTATATGCACTTTTAACTTTTCTTTTTGTTGACTTGAACCTCAGAGGTTATTATAATCTGGCCTAGAATTTTCATGCCGCAGGATCATTACAGGAAGAATGATTTTCAGAAGAAAACCTACAGAACCTTGCTAGTTAATTCCAATCCAGCAAACTTCTATGAAAAATTTGGCACGTGGAAATGAGCCAGAAGGATCAAGATGTAGGGTGAGGAGAATTATAAAAATCCAATTATCACAATTAGCTGGTTGGAATGATTAGTCTATTGTGAAAATCACAGAGCGGTGTTGTTTTTCCAGGAGACTATGGTGTTGGTCGACAAAGGTTTTAAAGGTGTTTTGTGGGATTTTTGTAAGTGGTGGAAAATATCATACAAATGCTTAGTTTGGCACTGAAGATGTTTTTTCCCCAGAGAATAGCACAAATCATTTTCTTTTGTTCAGTGACCTGAAATGCTGAACACTGTTTTAAAGGGAGATAAAAAAGAAAAAGGAAATGGCTCATGGCAAACTTTTTGTCAGAATTTAGAATTTGATGTAACACATGCTTTGCAGTTTCTCTATTCTACTATGATCAATGTATTTATGTGTGTATGTTTAGATATATTTACATGTGTAACGTGTACACGCGTGTGTGTTGGAGTCATAGGTTACAGATCTCCTCGCTCTTGGAATGTGAAAAATACTCTCCTATTTCCCCCCCACATTCTAGGTCAAAATGGCTCACTGCTCTAAGGGTTTCGATGAAATAAAACACATTTAAAAGTAACGCTTTCAGAATCTAGAGACTTTATAACACAACCTCTAAAACATTTCATAAAACTTTACCCTTATGCCTATTAAAATCTTCTTTAATCAAAATGCTACTAGAAAAATAATCCTACTATATTTATTTAAAAATAACCATTTATTTAGAACCTCGTCTTCCAATTTTCTTTCATTTGTTCATTCATTCCTTTCTTCAGTTATAATTATTGGGTGCCAATCACACCAGGCACAATACCACAAACTTGAAAGGAGAGCTCATAAGTATGTGTAGTGACAATATGACAATTAGGGCCGCAGACCAAATTCTACTCCTTGTCGAGTCCCATTTGGTCATACGATCATCTATCAATTCTCCAATCTAGTCCATCTCAAAGGTACTTACTGATTTGTAAATGCCTACCACAGGGCATGCTTTTCTGAGCTGAACATCTTATCTAGAGTTCAGCTCAGTCAGTAGGACTCAGCATCTTGCTGGGTCCTATGAGAATAAAAATAAAAATATGATCTATGTATGTACAGAACACCAATGAGGGAGGAATTCAAAGAACGGAGAGATCAGTGTAGTTTGCCATAGTCCCACAAAGCTCCACAGAGCAGCAGGATTTGAGCCAGATGCTACAAAGTTTATAGGGATAACAGAGATGGTGGAAGGCATCATGGTAGGCAGTGGAGATTAAGCAAAGACAGGGAAATTGGCAAAACCTGGGATGTGGAGGAGAGATTTCTGTTTGGAGCAGAGGTCTGACATTTCAAAAAGGAAAGTAAGTTGTACAATTAGGGCAGCAGTATTGAAGAGCATCCTGAATTCTGTGATAGAAGAGGGACAGGATAGAAGCACATTTTAGGTTTAAGGTGGTTTGCAAAAGGTGGTGGATGTGCAGAGCTGTTCTTTTGGGTCACTGTCCCTGCTGGTGGGGGCTGCCAAACCCTGTATCCCACCTCTCTGGCTATGCCACTCAGAGTACGCCATTCCCCGGGAAACTGACTGGCCAATCCGAAACCTTCCCCAGATTTTTCTACGGGGCTGCTCAGAAAGCTCTGTGGCCCCAGTACCATTCTCATAAATGACAGCTGACCTGAAAACAGAGAGAGTTCTGTGGGCATTTGAGTTTCTGGTTCCAGATATCTCTGAAGCCAGTTTTACCTTGTGTCTTGATTACATGAACCAAATTTCCTCCCTTTTTGCTTAAGCTAGTTCTCTCACTTAGAATTCAAAACAGATCTGCCTGATACAAGAGAAAAAAAGGAAAAAAAAAATGCTCTTCAGATATCTGGACAAAAATTTAGGAAGAAAGTTGGATTGGGAGGGGAAGAGAATGATTTTACTTTTGAAATGCTGATTTTTTATTTTTTTTTTAAAGATTTTATTTATTTGACAGAGAGAGACACAGCGAGAGAGGGAACATAAGCAAGAGGAGTGGGGGAGGGAGAAGCAGACCTCCCGCTGAGCAGGGAGCCCGATGTGAGGCTCGATCCCAGGACCCTGGGATCATGACGTAAGCCGAAGGCAGACGCTTAACAACTGAGACACCCAGGCGCCCCAATGCTGATTTTTTTTAAAGATTTTATTTATTTATTTATTTATTTATTT